AGCTACTCTCCACGCATCGATCCAGTCGTGCAACGTTTTGCCCAAAGAGATAAGACAGAAAAGAAGTGCAGATTTTTTTAGCACGGAAAGGGGTCAAGAAGGAGAGGATTACAGTTACGCCTGCGCTCGCCAAGAAGGAGAAAGGAAGGATTACAGTTACGATTAGAATTTAGGTGCGGCAGAAGCAGAGCGCAGGAGTAAGGAGCATCGTGCAATTACAACAGCAAAAATCCACGACAAAATTGCGATACCCCCAATTCCTAACTCAATTAAAGTCCTAATTTCTGTATTTTCCCGTATTTCAGAATTCGAAAAGATTTCTCCCGCGCTATAATCGCACCAAAGTTTCCTTCCCCACTTTTAGCAGAAGAAGAAAGAAGCTACGACAACAGTTATTTTTCGCGCTCGCTAAGGCGCGCGCCCCAATTACCAACCGCCATGGGACCAAGTTCTTTCCTGAAACCGGACGAGGGCATTTGCGCATTTGGGTTGGTCCCTCGGACTCCCTCCCATTCCACCCCCGAAATACCGCCCCGCAGGAAGTTGCGGGTTTCAGAACATAGTTCGTCATACGGTTCTGTTCTAGGTGGCACTTCGAGAGTCGATAAAGGAGAGGAGCTATTAGAGTCTGGAATAGTGGGGATCCAGGCGAGTAGGTAGGTTCCTTTCCATGACATCGAGAATTTTGAGGAATCACGATATCGGTCGTCGGTCAAAGGCCTTGCGATGGGCCTGGGCCGGGTAGGAAATTTACACAGTCAAAGACACAGTTTTAGCTTAAGAAGTATTCAAGATCCAATGTACAAGCGAAACTGCCTAATGCTGCCAGGATAACTCCGGGTTGAATTGTGAGGTCCCGGGCCTCAGTCAGCAATTTGATATATATGTTATGAATTGGTCATTAAAAAAAAAAAAAAAAAAAAAAAAAAAAAAAATCTAGAGGGGGTTTTCAACAGGTGCAGCTCCCCAGCAATAGATTGGAGGGAATTTGGAGCCATCAAACAGCGCAGACATCAACTTGTCAGTAGCTTTTTTTTTTTTTTTTTTTTTTTTTTTTTTTTTTTTTTTTTTTTTTTTTTTTTTCCTGATAGGTAAGGGAAAGAAAAGAAAATCTAGGTGTCACACCTTCTTCCCAAGTTCAGGACCGATTCTTTCCCCGCACACGAGGCAAGATCCCATCTGCACCGATGAAGAGATATTGGCCGTAGAGATAAAGCAGATCAACGAATGCTCTCTCTTGATCCAGGGAAGTGAAAACTACTGTCTTTCCCCTACAGTGCAGCAGGACGCACCCTCATTTTGCGCCCACAGTAGCTTCTGTACATTCGGTATCAGGGTGCATTTGGTTTAGGGGGAAGAAGCCACCTCCAGTGTCCTCCAACCCTTCTGTCAAGTTTAGAAAGGCTAATTTCTTTCAAGCGCAACCAATTCAATTAGGACCTGTCAAATCTGGACAGGATGGCATTTCAGGCCTTTTTAATTTTTTATGGTCATTGTAGTGTTAGGAGAACCCGTAGCAGGCACATCCGTGCTCAAGCCTCCAACGAGGGAACATGCGGGAGTTGCACCCACCAGCAGGTGCGAGACCTGCTACAGCTGGTGGGCGATACCACCCAGGGGTCAGCCGGTAGCATCAGAACTGTTCTGCCAAGTGACTCTACGCCCCCTAAAGTCGGGCAATATCTGCAAAAAAAAAAGGAAAAAAAAAAAGTTAACCCTTGTGAATAACCGCTAGGGCAAGGGGCAAACATGCCGTTAGCCTTAGGAAGTTAGGAGTAGTGGTAGGTAGATAGTGAAAGAAAAAGAAAGATATGTTCTTTCCCTGGCATGGCAGAATGCCAGTTAAAAAATATGTGAGGTGAGAGAAAAGTACATGGCTGTAGGCGCACTTAGTGCCAACGGACTATGATAGTCCTCTGGGTACCCCTGTTCGGTATATTAGCGGGGTTTATGACCAACACGGGGGTGAATGTGAGCGCGAGTGGGTTGTGTGTGATGTGTGGGAGAGTGTTGGCGATAGAGGCCCTCTGCTGGTACTCGACGAGGGGTGGGGGACGATGAGAAAGGGTGGCGCAGCTACTGGCAAAATGCTAGGTCTTTGCGTTAGCCGGACCCCCACCCCCAGCCCCACCCCCCACCCCATCTCTGACTACTGCTCTTGGGGCGGGGGGCAACATGATTTACCTCGTTTATGAGGCATTATGCTTGCAGGGGTCCCCTCAAAAAATAGTCTTAGGAGTGCTGGTTGGAAGGCAGTGAATGGCAAACAGAATTTGAGAGAAGAATAGTTTTAAAAAATATATATATGGCTGTTCCCCCAATGAGGGCACGCTCACACTACGTACCAAATCCCCATTTCCCCCAAAAAAAAGAGTTCCCGGACAGTCACACATGGTGAACATCTGCCCAAATTCTCAAAAGGGGTGACCATTTGTCAGCGGCCTGCGAAGCCGGGGGGGAGGAAATTTGCGGTGACCTCTGGAGGTTACCGCAAATTCTCAAATCTTTTTCCGAATTATCGTGCAGTATTGAAGAAAAATGGAACCCCACGATATTAGCAGCCTATCAATTGACAAAACGAATAATTGCATTTGCCATTTGAGGTATCCACATTGTGACCGGCACCCTCCACAACCACCTCGCAGAGTATGATGTAGCTACCTTGTCGTTAGCGTTTTGGGAACACAGTGTGACCGGCCACGGCCACATTTCCTCAAAACGGCCGTTCCCATTTTCCCATTTTTTGGGAATTTGGGTACCTAGTGTGAGCGTGCCCTGAGGAGAAGGCAGCTTAAAAAAAAACGAAAAAAAAAAAGACGCCGAGCGACACGGATGACACGGCACTGCCAGGCACTTCAATAATAAGGGCATACTCGAACTAGCTCTCTCTCAGGCGTATTTTAGCGCATTTGCAGCCTGACGTGGATGTATCCGACAGCAATTTCCATCCACAAACAAGCAAAAACGTCCTCGTGGCCTAAGTCTGCCCAAACCTTCACATTTAAAACAGGATTCACCGTCCCATAACCGCTGCTCTCCATTTCGGTTCCATCCAGTCGAGAAATCGATGGGGTGCTCGAGGTTCTTTTCAGTATAAATACACAGATCGACGAAGTGGTTGATATCTTTGCGCTTGGGGCAATGACGCAGTCCGTGAGGGCTAACCGAGACGCGTCTATTGCTGGTTGAAAACTATATTCCAAACCCCCTCAGGGGCCGAAAGGCCGCTGAGAATTTCTGGAAGGCGTCCGCTTCGGCGAACGCCATAAAAATAAAATACAAACAAGGATGGGAATGATGAAGTACAAGTGCTTCGCGTTGAGTTTTTCTAGACGCACCACGCCACAAATACATCCAGATTCATGCGTTGAAAAACTCAGCGCTGCTGGCACAAGTGGTTACGAGGCGCTGCCCGGGGCCTATGTTTTATTATTACCAGGGTTGAGAATGAATTCTCAATGCCGGAATCCTGACGTGTGTGTGGAGATGTGCAGAGGTCGCGGTGTGTTTTCTGAACATTTCTCGAGCGCAGGTCTCCACAAAGGCAGCCAGTGGGATTTGGCCCGGGGACGTAATGATGGTAAAGAGGACTTGTTGCCTAGTCACACTAGCAGCGTTGAGTTTCTTTATTCAACGATCGAACCTGGACGTGTTCGAGGGGACGTACAGAATCGCGTTGAGTTACCTCAACCGCACCTCTCCACAAACACGTCCAGATTCGTGCGTTGACAAACTCAACGCTGCTGGGTACCCGAATAGATTGATGCGTTGAGGAACTTGACGCTGACGGCTACCCGAATGATAGATTCCTGACCGCGTGTTTGGAAGATCAACGACCGAAAATCGACGATCAGGGTAAGTGGGACTTGGCCCCCGGGCCTCTAAAATGGAATTTGTAATGGAATACATAGACTAGCGAGAGGATGAGATAGATGACTACTTGAAAAAAAAAAAAAAGCGAGAGGTTGAAATAGATGATAGAAGAATATAGCTTACTTCGAGAACCAAAAAAAAAAACAAAAAAACAAAAAAAACCCTGATGTTCTGAAGCTGCCCTGACGAGGTCCCACTGGCAAAGAGGCATCCGCCTTGGCGAATGCAAGTAGGAAAAAAAAAAACAGAGGATGCGTATGAGGCATAGAGTGCGTCTGAAACTGCCTCTGTGCAGAGTCGTGCTTACTTAATCTGCGTCCCTGCATCCTCACATAAAGCACGTCCACATTCACGTGCTTTCACAGGCGCAGAATCGTGCTTAATCTGCATCCGTGCATCCTTGCAAAAACACGTCCAGATGCCGGCGGATAATTCAATTCAATCCCTTTTTGCGAGCGGGTAGTCGGCCCGAGCCCGGGGCCAAGTTATTTGATCCGATTCTTTTTTCTTTTTTTTTTTTTCCCCCGAAGATTCTTCATTTGTTGCCGTAGATATCGAGTGGGACTTCGCCCCTGACAAAAAAAAAAAAAAAAAAAAAAAAGGAAAAACAAAGGGGACTTGGGCCCTGAACCCCGGGCGCCATGAATGGTGTCGTCATCTCTTTCTTCCATCTCAAGGCATATGTAGTATTTACTCAGACGCGGGCTTTTTGGGCTCAGCTCTGGACGTGATTGCAGTCCGATGCATTCTTGTCCTCTGCTGTACCCCGGGCGCCATGAATGGTGTCGTCATCTCTTTCTTCCATCTCAAGGCAAATGTAGTATTTACTCAGACGCGGGATTTTTGGGCTCAGCTCTGGACGTGATTGCAGTCCGATGCATTCTTGTCCTCTGCTGTACTTGCAGCCAAAGACATGAGAAAACTGCTTTTGTAAGTATATACTCTCTCACGATAAAAAATGTACGTCAGCGCCGTAATGTGGGGTTTTCCCTTCTTCGCGAAAAAGTGCTGATTAGTACACAATACTACACACATCAGCAAATACTTTTCGCGACCTGAGCTGGAATCCAGATCGAATCAGCAGAACAAAAACGAACTCCGGAGCAGGGTACGCTGTTAGAGCCATCGCCATCGCCATCGTTTTCCCTTCTCTTGGAAAGGCCCGTGCGGGCGGGATTCTGATCTTGCAGCGATGTCGAAGAGAGGGCGTGGACTCCGTGGAGGGGCGGGATTCTGATCTTGAAATTCCGCATGTCACTGGGTGTCCCAGTGGGTGCGTTTGTTAACTGTGCGGATAACACGGGAGCAAAGAATCTCTATGTCATCTCCGTGAAGGGTGTGAAGGGTGGCTTGAATCGACTGCCTGCGGCAGCGGTTGGCGGGATGGTTATGGCGACTGTGAAGAAGGGAAAGCCTGACCTGAGGAAGAAAGTGATGCCTGCAGTTATTGTGGGACAAAGGAAGCCGTGGAGGAGAAAGGACGGTGTCTTCATGTACTTCGAAGAGAATGCGGGAGTTATTGTGAATCCAAAGGGAGAAATGAAGGGGTAGGCTATAACAGGACCTATCGGGAAGGAGTGCGCGGACTTGTGGCCCAGGATTGCAAGTGCCGCGAACGCGATAGCCTAGCCGAAGTTGTCTTTGCTTCCACCCTCACAGCGCGGTTCCTAAGCTGCTTCTCCCGCCATGGCTTCCACCATGTCTTCTGTTCCGATGCCGATGGTCTCTCTGACTGCCGCGGTTGAAGCATTTAATCCATCCATCTAGTCCACGAGACATGACATGTTTTTGTGAGAAATCATTGTTGCGAAAACTGTTGGTGGAGAGAGAGAGAGAGAGAGAGAGAGAGAGAGAGAGAGAGAGAGAGAGAGAGAGAGAGAGAGAGAGAGAGAGATGAAATGACCCTCAGTACCATACTGAATTCCGGGGATGTAACACGACGCTGTGTGGTATCAGGCGGTCGTTTGGATTGAATCAAGAACTTCGTCCACTTCGCGGCCATCTCTGAGCTGGAGCGGCCGAGAGCGCTTACCGTTTGCCTGCATGTGTTGACATACGCAGTGAACCGTTTCGGTGGAAATGGAAATGGAAATGGAAATGGGAGCGTAATTATCCGTAGGGCAGGAATTGTTAGGTTCTTGTGGTGTCTTGTATTCCGCCCTCGTCTTTGGTGGTATTGGTTCTCTCGTGTGCTTAGTGTTTCTTCGCTTCACCATCGTCGGCTGACGTTTGAGTAAACTGGCGTCGTGTCGCATAGACGGAGAGGAAGAGTCGGTCGTTTGCGGATCGACGCGTAATTCTTCTTCTGTAGAGGGAATCGGGTTATTACCGATCGTTTGGGCTTGACGAGGACCTAACTTACCTAGCGTGAGACGGTGAAGTCTGGTTGCTTCTCTTTCTTTTCTGTTGTTTCGAAAGAGTGATGAAAGGCTTTGTTGTCCTTGAGGGTAATTCTTCCCACGAAAATGTTGTT